AACTCATCTTGGAGGTTCATCAGATTGTTTCTGATTATACTCCAGCTTTCCTCTACGTCAGCGTGCGACTCCGAACTGTGCCAACTCAGTTGAGTAGATTTAGCTCGGAGTAGATACGCGTCCATCCTCCCAAAGTTCCTACACATCCCCTCACGGGGTTTGGGTAGTTTCAACTGAAGTGTCATCTTGATGAGAAGATGATCACTTTTACCGATAGGAGGGTGATACTCTAGACTCTGTCCCTCTTCCTTCTGCTCTGTGATGATTAGGTCCAATAGCGACGGCTGTTGCCCTTCCCGATATCTGGTGTTCTCCTTCACGAGCTGATAAAGGGCTCGGGATTGAATCCATTCGAGGTAGCTTTCACCTGAACCTCGAGGACACCTCCCGAGCTACCAGTCAACATACCTATGATTGAAGTCACCCATAACGACCAGTCTGGTCGAATTTCGAGCCAAGTTGTCTAGTACCTGGATAGTCTGTTGGTCCTCCGAATGAGTGGCACTAAGACCCCTATACAAGCAGGCGACGGACATTTTTCTGCTATTTGTAATAAGATCCACTGCAACTAGCTGCACATTGAGAGTAGAAACCTTAGTATTCGATTCTACTGAGTATAAGTGGGTTCTTAGTTGCTGGGCTGCTCCTCCACCCTGTACAGAGCCACCCATATCTGTTCTGTAGGTAACAAATTTATCTTGAACTATAGTAGGGTCAGGATCACTCTCTGAGAGCCAGGTTTCTGTTATGCCTACAGCGGTAGCCTTATGGGTCTCTGCTGCCATCAGAACCTCGGTCCACTTGTTTCTGACACCGCAATTATTTGCATACAGCAGTGTCATCCGCTTCTGTCAGTTTAGTTTCCACAGAACGAATATAGCCCTTGCCAATCCAGCGTCCAGTTCGTTGTAATATCGGCGAAGGATTGTAGCTTCCAACACTGCGTACAGTGGATTAGGTGTTCGTGATCCTCTAAATTTAACCCCGTTGCCCGAACATTGACTCCTTGGGGGTATGCTGAAAGAGAGAAAATCAAGCAAGGATATCTCCTCGCCTCATTGGTTAGAGACCTCAAGTACACATGCGTTCGTATACACAGATCACATGTGACAGGATAGTCCGTTTTAGAATAATTCTAACAGTCAAACCGGAGTTCGCATCATTTCAAAGCTCCGGCTAAAGTAGAATTTATTCCTTATGATCTCACCCTAAATACTAACTTCGAGGGATGTTGCTGACGAACATGCGTCCAGGGCCACCTTTGAAGGCGTTAACATTGGTGCAATTGACCACTTCTGGAGGTAACCTGTTCCACATAGGTATGACCCTGTGCAGGAAGAAGTTTGCCCGTACTTCCAACCTGGCGTGGTTCTGCTGAAGTTTATAGTCATGACCTCTCGTGTTCTGAGCACGAGAAATCGTAAACAATTCGTCTAGGTTGAGTCCCGATAGACCTCTTACAATTCTGAAAGTCTCCCCTCACTCTTCTACGCTCCAGCGAAAAGAGATCAAGATCTCTCGACCGCTGCGCATAGCTCTTCCCCTTTTGACCGCCCACCATTCGGGTAGCTAGGCACTGCACTCTTTCTAAACAAGATATATCCCTCCTATAATACGGTGTCCATGCCTGCACACAATATTCCATGTGTGGGTGAACAATCGACTTATACA